GGATACTGGGATGGCGAGCGTGGACAGGTGGTGGAGATCCTCGGATACTGGGATGGCGAGCGTGGACAGGTGGTGGAGTCTCTGGGATACTGGGTTGGCGAGTGTGGACAGCTGGTGGAGATTCTTGGATACTGAGCCGGTGAGTGGGACCAGTTGGAGATTCTTGGATACTGGGATGGCGACTGTGGACAGTTGGTGGAGATTCTTGGATACTGGGATGGCGACTGTGGACAGTTGGTGGAGATTCTTGGATACTGAGATTGCGAGTGGGGACAACTGGTGGGAGCGCTTGGACACTGAGCCGGCGACCGTGGGCAGCTGGTGGAGGCCCTTGGACACTGAGCCGGCGCCCAAAGGTAGCAGCAGGTGGAGGCTCTTGGATACTGACCCGGCGAGTACGGGTAGCAGGTGGTGGCTCTTGGATACTGACCCGGCGAGTGCGGGTAGCAGGTGGCAGCTCTTCGATGCTGACCTGGCTACTGTGGGCAGTAGGTGAGGGCTCTTTGATACTGGCCTGGCTACTGTGGGCAGCAGGTAGCGGCTCTTGGATGCTGACCCGGTGACCATGAGTAGTGGGTAGTGACCCTTGGATACTGACCCTGTGACTGTGTATAATAGGTGCAGGCTCTTGGATACTGACCCGGTGACCATGGGTAATAGGTGCAGGCTCTTGGATACTGACCCGGTGACCATAGGTAGCAGGTTGAGCAGGTTCCTGGCTACTGACCCGATGACTGTGGACAGTTGGTGGAGATTCTTGAATACTGGACTGGCGGCTGTGGCCAGGCGTTAGAAGCTCTTGGTTACGGATGGGGCGAGTGGTGACGGCTGACGGAAGGGTCTGGATACTGATCCGGCGATTACTGGGGGCCGTCAGAAACCTTGGGGCACTCCCATAGTGGTCCTGGATGTTGGTACTGACTTGAGGGCCATAGATAAAGGGCAGAAAGCTATGACGCTCGTCTTCGGTGTTGTTGGGATCCAATGGCTGAGTCCCCTGGGGGTCAGCTTGAGCCTTCTCAGACATGTGGAGGTGCAGGGTAGGGCCAGGACCGGGCTGCACTCAGTCTGCTCGCAGCCTCAGTCTCTCCTTGTGGGCACCCCCATGACCACCTGGAAGATGTGTGGTTTCTCTCCAGGGCTTAACCTTGGTTCTTTGGCATTGTTTTCTGTCTCTTTGTGTTTCCTGGTCTCTCTTGCTGTTCAAGGGCAGAGCTCAGGGATTCAACCTGACCTGCAGCTGGGGCCAGGAGGAGGTTCTATGACAGTTGGAGGGGTTCTAGGAGGTTGGGAGTTTGGCCATGACCTCAGACTCTGTCCTACCCTTTGTGAGTTATGTGGCAGTTAGGACTGGGGCAGAGTGGGATCTGGGCAGAGTCAAGAGTGGGTCAAGGAGGATTTTGCTGTGACAGGCCAGGGCAGGCCCAGAATAGGGTGAGGGTGGAGGTAGCAGGGCCAGAGAGACCAGGCTGTGAGGAGGGCTAGGTAGGCCAAGTCACGGATGGGTTAATACATATCTGAGATGAATTCTAACCATTTCTAGAGAGGCTGAGATCTGACCTTATGATTCGCTCTTCCTACCTGCTGCTTTTCCTACCCCTTCTAGGGCCTCTTCTGAATCACTTTCATCCTTTTATTCCCTTCTCTAGTTCCATGTCTCTCCTCATTTCCTTTCTTCCTCCTCCATCTCTGTCCCCATTCACCTTCCCTGGGGTCTCAGAGAAGACTGGACCGCTCCTTGCTCCCCAAGATCGTCAACTCCAGCTGGGAAGAGGAGGAAGCCCCAGCCAGGGTTTGAGAAGTGATGGACAAAGATGTGCAAGGTACCCGTCCCCAGCTGTGCGTGCTGGCTCCTCTGTGGGGGAGGGGCGGGTGCTATGCCCTTGAGCTTCCCTTTTGCAAGAAACCAACTCCAAGCCCGCGCACGGTGGCACACGCTTGGAGCCCTAGCCCTCAGGAGGCTGAGGCGGGAGGGTAGGCATGAGTCTACGGCCAGCCAGGGGCTACATAGTGAGTTCAAGGCCAGCCTGAACTCTATGTAGCAAGATGCTGTCTCAGAGGGCAAAAAACCAAACCAAAACAAAACAACAAAAACGCCAAGCAACTCCACAAACTTTTATACAACTTTAATTTATATGAATATTGACATTATTTAAAAATCTTTTTATTACTGCCTGTTTTACAAAATTCTGGGATTCAATGTGGTATTTATTATATACATGTGTATAACATATTTCGATCACATCCCCCCAACCTTTCCTTACACTCCCCTCGCCCCACCATTCCTCCCCATTCTCTTATCTAATAGTGGTGTAAAAGTAGTCTCCCTTGTACCTTCATTCTGTCTTTTTATTAAATTTTTTTGCGAAGCCGGGGATTAAACTCAGACCCTTGTGCTTGCCAGGGAAGCGCTTATTCCACTGAGCCATCTCCCCAGCCCCTCTGTCTTTTTATTAAAATCAGATTACACATATTAGGGAAAACTCATGATCCTTGTCTTTTTTTCTTTCTTTTATATTTTAGGGAAGGGTCTTCAGGGTATTCAGGGACTCACTACTAGATCGGACTCATAGTGATCCACCTGTTTACAGCCTCCCAAGAGCTGGGATTACCACGCCCAGTCTCAATTGCCATCTCAGTGTGCCCCAGGGGCAGGGCCAGCACAGCATGCCCGGGGATCAAACCCCGGGCCCTAGTGCCTGCTTGCTCTTCTTTTTTCTTTTGATATAAAAGTCTCACTAAGTTGCTGGTTTTGCACAGGCAGGCCTCAAACTGACACTCCTTCTGCCTCAGCTTCCCAGAGTATGGAATTATAGGCTGTCCCACCATACGCAGCTTGCGTTTTATGTTCCTGATCATAGCCCTTGTGACTGGGTGAGGTGAAATGTCAGCATAGTTTGTTTTCTGAAGTTCCAACAGCTTCACTGGAATTGAAGTTGGTTCTCACTGCATTTAGATGATTTATCCCACCTCGATGTTCATTACAGAAGTCCCTCTGAAGCCAGCCCTCAAGTGCAGTCTTTGGCTCTGTTTCTCTTGCTGTGGAGAACAAAGCAGAATAGTTTAACTTCTAGCTTTTCTTGGCAGTGCAAACAAATACGGTCATGTCTACTTTTTTTTTTTTTTTGGCATGCTTTTTCTACTAGAGTTGAAAAGACCTTCTTGTGTCCTAAAATTCTCATCCAATATCATAAGTCATGAATTATTTCATCTACAAGTAAATTTAAACTGACTTAGCCCACTGGGAAGACTCACAGAGACCCATAGTTCCTTGGCAACTCTCCTGGGGCTAAACCACCGAAATTAATCTGCGGTTAGCGATTACCAAGGGGCGGTCAGTCCTGCAAGGCCACTGGAGATCGTCTCAGGCTTTGAGCTTAGAGAATTAAACAGGCTTCCATCCTGGTAAGAGTGAACGTGGTAGAGGTGCTCAGGAAGGTGGCAGAGTCAACAAGCCAGGAGGTCAGATAGTCATTCAGAGTATGAGGTCTTCATGTAAACTGACATCTGGAGGGCCGGCGATGGGCCACGCAGTGACTTACCGGCATCCAGTCCCAAAACGCTTCCTCTTGTGCCACTTGAAACTCAACAACTGGTAAGCTTGAAAATGTTGAGTCTCTCACTATCTCGTTATGGTGCATTTTGTTTCTTCCAGGCGGATGTAACGGTAACACATAAGTAAAAGTGTCGGCACATAAGTAGCAGTGACCAAGCCTTTGTCAAGAGACAGAATTGTGGGCTTGTCATGGGGAGGTAACTCCCAAACTGTCACATGCTGGATGTGCCAAGATTGTATTCTATTTTTTTTTTTTTTTTTTTTTTTTTGGCGGAACTGGGGATTGAACTCAGGCCTTTGTGCTTGCCAGGGAACTGCTTATTCCACTGAGCCATCTCCCTGGCCCCATGGATGTGCCAATATTGTGTCCCAATACTGAAGAATGGGTTCGAAGACAAAGGAGGTTGAGAATAGGAAAGGTTTATTGAGAGAAAGTTCCTGAGGGACAGCAGGGCTCCCAAAAGTGGGTAGCTGCTGCTGATCTTTGTCCATGGGTATTTTTTATTTATGTGTGTGTGTGTGTGTGTGTGTGTGTGTGTGTGGCCAGCTCAGCCCACCAGGGGGCAGGGCTGGCTAGCATGTGGTGCTGGGGGATCGAACCGCGGTCCCT